CCTTTCCTTTCCTTTCCTTTCCTTTCCTTTCCTTTCCTTTCCTTTCCTTTCCTTTCCTCCAAAAAAGTATTCCTGAAGCTTAATTAATTGGTATACTAGCCAGAAAGCTATGAATATGAAGCAATTTAAATGCACACCCAACTGCATTCTTTACAAGTTGTGGCTGGGGTGAATTTCTAATTCAGGGTGCACAGAACTTTTTGACATTGTAAGGGTATTACGGGAAATTTTTAAAATGTCTGCTGACAGCAGGGAGTCAGTGGGAGATAAGAATTCTCCCCATGACTGCCCAGACAGTCAAATACTCAAATCTTCCCCAATATTCCAAAATAAACAAAATTCTGCCATGTTTTTCACATCTCCTAAATAGGATATTTATTATTGGGGGAAAACGAAATGTAATTTGAATTTGATCCTAGATAAATGATTCAATGTTTTATTTTCAGCCTGGGATACTCAAGTATATTTGTAAACTGAGTTGGAGTAGCCATGGAAAGGGTGGGGAAGTAGGCAGAGTTGTATCCCTGTAGCAACTTCCTGATTTTATCCCTGCAGCCTAATACAGTCAAGCACTATTAGAAAATCCACCTTTGTTCCTGTAGGAAGAGAAAATCAGGCCGTGGACATTAGATAAAATTATGTCATGGCTGAAAGTGGGGGAAATCTAAAAGTTGAATATCATTCTCGTTTTAGAACCACTGCTGCACCTTTTGCTCTTCCTCCTTTTCTTCCTTCTCCTGCCTGCTAACTATGTCTTGTTGTTCTTTCTTCTTTCATCCCGAGTTAGTAAGCTCAACAGTCCTTGCTATGAGAAGAAGAGTCAGCAGGTGCCACCTTAGCTTGATTATACATTAACCCCAACTCTATTCCCATCAGAGATTTTTGCCGCCATCTTCTTTCCAGTTTTTCAGTTGGCCACAAGAATGCCGTCTTTGAAAAGACAACACTACATTTTCTGAGGCATAAAAAAAGGAGAGAAATCCTGCATGAAGTAATAACAGGAAGTGATGATTAAAAGATTCCAAGTGGTCTCAAATGCTCCTGATCAACTTATGGAGTATGAAACACTTCCTTGAAAAACTAATGGCAATAATCTTCTAATATCTATGTAACTATATCAGGCAGTCAGGCTTACTTCTGGCGGCTTTTGAAATTTTTATTGAAATATTATGGATTTCCATGTAATAGGTCATCCTCAATAGCTGTTATTGGGCAGTGTTGTTTAGGCTTATCAGTAAAGAGGTGAACTTTGGAAATCACAAGAACAAATTGTGAGTACTATTATATGATTTGCTTTCCTCACTCTAAATATTATTCCCCAATTTGGCTCAAGATTTTAAATTAACGTGACATTATGGTCAAGCCAAGAGGTCAAAAATACTGTTTGCAGGGAACAATTCCCTTTTTCACCCAAAAATGATACTCTTATGCACTAGATAGAGTCTGGCAGGCATGTCTAATTGAAAAAAAGGACCTGAGTTTGAATAAAAGGGGGGTGTTTTCAGTACTCCATTCAATGACAGCTTTGTGTACAGCAATTCTTAGTAGCTACAGGGAATCAAATGATACTTAAAAAGACCCAAGGATGACCTTTCCAAACTCTTCCCATTTGCATCATGGGTTGCTGATCTTGGTAGAACAATGGCAGATGTAACCAAAGATCTCTCAGCAAGGGAATGTTATCAAAGCCATGATCTCTTCCTGGGCCATTCCTTTTGTTAAGTGGAGCAATGGGCCCAAGCTTGTCAATTACTCATATGCTTTACCTTGAAACTACTTTGTTAACCGAAAGGAGTCTGGAAATAGGCTTGGATCACCTATTTCCTTTCCCCCCACCCCCCAAAATGGGATTACTTTGGCTAGTACTACTTCTGCTTCAGCGCAGAAACCTTTTATAAATGAAAACCCTGCCTTTTTGCAGGTTTGAGGGCTAGTTTTTTGCTAGTTTGCACTTGTTCTGCTGATCTCCTATTCTCATCTGAACTGATAGCTGAAGTTACTGAGATCTTCCTTTCCCTCCAATTGTTGGAGGATGCATCTGACCTCCTAGGCTGAGAACTCGATGCACAAATAGCAAAGGAAAGGTGCAAAGGAAATGGGATTCAGCCCACCACTTCCTTTCTCCATCCAATGCAGAACCTTTCTATTTATTTCTCATTAAATAATGAGATTTATTAAATGATAAGGTACATAAGGTGCTTTCTTTATTGTGGCAGGAATCTTTATTTATTTTTCTATAGCTGATCATTGAATAAAGTAAATTTTGTGTGTGTGTGTGTGTGTGTGTGTGTGTGTACGCGCTTTCAAGTCAGTGTTGATTCCTGGTGACT